AATTCTTGTTTAAAAATGACCGCATTTTATCTGTGTGTCCTTATATGCTGTAGCAGATAAAATTATATGTTCAAGGGGATAAAAAAAGAGGAAGTTCAGTATCAGCCTACTGATTCTGTAACTCAAGCTTTAATGCTGCAAATGACACAAACTCAAGGTGATGCATCTCAAAGAAAGTATTTCCTTATCAGGTGCTCCTTGATATCACATCATAGGACCAATAAGTAGACCTCCAGAGATAGGTTCACAAGTACATCTTTTCCATGATTTTCTCAGATATCATCTCATTTTTTTAGGAAGTTGACAGGTAACTAGAATCAGAATGGCATCTTCTCCCTCCTAAGCGTAGGAACCCTGGGTTTTCAATTCTTAAAAAGAGGAAAGAGAGTAGCACACATGGATACTGCAGCTAGGATAAAGTTCAGTATGGATAGCCATGGACACTATCAGAGTTTGCAATGTACATAGTTTTTGAGAGATGTATTAGATGAGGAAGCGGATATGTGTATTACATACATAAAAGTAGGGAAAAATGATGCTTCTGCCTGCAGTGGAAATTACACTAGAAACTTCAGTTCCATATTTATCTGAGCGTACATCATTAATTCTATAGTCAACTGAAAGTAACAACAGTATCTATATGTTATTAGGTAACAATATGTGCCAGAAGAAATTTTGCAAGCAGCTAATGAGTAGCAAGAGAAGACAAAAATCCTAGGCAGTATTTATGATTCTCAGACAGTGGAATAGAAATGCTGTAAGAATGAATCTTTAGCTTTGAGATTTCTGGTTTCTTGACTATAAATTACTAGGAAATGTTAGTGCATTTTATGAAAAACAAACAGTTGGTCTGTAAGTAACCTTTCAAAAATTATAATAATGGATTATTCTCTCAAACATAGCCCAGATTTTACATCCATGTTTTTACATTTTTATTTTGAATTTTTAGTTCAACAAAATCATAGAACATCAAACCACTGAGTATTTGAAATTCCATGCATATCAAAATGAAACTGACATTTCAGTGTTTGGAAATAGCATATTTGGGGCAGGATAGAAATGCAAACATTTTCATCAGATTTTTTCAGAATCAGTTGAAAATTGATAGTTCTAGTTTTATTCCAGTCTTATGCTTTAGAGTTTATCATGAACAGAGTATTTGTGCATTGATATGTACAGTTGCAGTGCTGTTATTATTAGTTATATTCTATCGCCTTTCCCTCATCTGCAGGTCTTATCAGGAGCAATTTTTTTATTCACTTTATTGGTAAAAATACTGAATGGCTTCAGGATTTGTATTTAGATCTGCAGATAAACACTACCAGAAATGCTTTGGTTTGTTTTTAAGTCTTTTAGTCAGACAATTCTTGTTCTATTTTGTGTAAGCTTTACAGGTATCATATTGTATTAATTTCCTACCAGATTATTTTACAGTACTGACTCAGATGCTATACAAATGCTATTGCATCTGTTCATAAACTAGAAATTTCAATTAGCGAAGCCATGTAATTGCACAAAAGAGAACGTGTGTAAGTTACCAAATGCCATTTTATAAACATGGTTTACACTGTGTATATATACAATATAAATATATTGTTTTATACCTACAGTTTTTGAACTGTCTCCCACATTAGCGTTTCCCTATTTTCCGTGGTATTCATGTCAGTCTGGAAGATTTCTTCCATCCCTTCTGGTTATTTTAAATTTTTTTAAATCTTTTTTTAAAAAATACTTTTAATTTTAATGCAACATTAGTGGGCACCCAGGCATCTGAAATTTCCTTGTAGCACTACTAACAGAGATCTTGAATACTTTAATACATTCTTGTAAGTCCTTTGGTCAGGGATACTTTGGGCTTGTTGATTATAAAGTACTATTTCTAATTAAATGTCTCCTAACATCTTTTGCTATATTTTACTTAGTTGACATAATCATAATGTTAAACTTTTCCAAATTACAGTACAAATGCATTTAATGAATGCCCATTAGTGTCATACCTCGTCTCTAAAAATTCCAGATAATATGAAAAAGTCTTTATTCTCCTGAAATAGATTTTTAAAATGAATTTTATTTTCCTTTTATATTGTCAGCCATGTGTTTTTTCTAGTGTCTTATCAGTAAACTTCAAGTTGGTATCTATTGTTATTGTTTTCTTTTTCTACTTTTTTTATATGTTAACATGTATTAAAAAAATTTACTTTGAAAAGGGTGTGCTTTCATCAAAGTTGAAGCCATAGTCAAAGCAGTTTGTTTTGTGTTTTACTCATTATTTTGGCTTTCCGCTGTCTCATTTCATGGAACTTCCAACTGAATCATTTTTCATTGATTTTCTTCCTTGTAGCCGTTTCATGCATAATTTAGAGCAGCTTAGGAAACTTATCACTAGTAAAAACCAAGTACCTGAAAACATGGAACAAGCAGACTTCCTTCCTCTCATTAACACTGCCCAACACAATGTATTTTCTCTGTCAGATGATGGGGGAGAAGCTGTATCCTGTCGTGTTTCTAAAGCAAGTTTATAATGGCTGTTTCCCAGGCAACCACCAACCTCCATGATTTTGAGGGCCAGAAATAGTAGAGTTGGATACATTTCTCCTTTTTTAAAAAAGGTTAAATGTTTCTTTATTACTATGTACATAAAACTTTCAATGTATATCTCCCTGACTTATGTAAAAATAGGTTTCTTTTTCTTATTTGCACACATTATTGACAAGATTTTTGAAAGGAAATCATGCCGTTTTCTGATCTGATACTATTTAATGATTTCTACCTAAGCATTATCGTATCCATTTAGATGTATCTAAAACCTGTGCTTCTGATTTACCACTAATGCTAAAAGAGATAGATGTAGAATGTTGAATATGTGGAATGCTTTCCCCTATTTCTTCCTCTTTAACCTAGTCTACTTTTCTGAATACGTAATAGCCAGTTATATGAACATCCAAGTCATGAATAATCACATCAAGTCTCAGGAATGTCAGTAATGTCAAATTCCTTTTCCACAGTGAGAATTTCGAATTCCTTTTAGTTGTTATGGAGTCTTATAGGACTGGCATGCAAGTGACTGGAAAATGACTTTGCATTTTTTGTCATATCAGTTCAGTTTGGTCATGAGGGTAGTCATTTAAATGTAGGTCAATGATAACCAAACTAGTTGTAAGTGAACTAGCTTAGATATCAGAAGCAGTCAAGTTGAAACAACATAAAATTCATCTTAGGCTAATATACTCACATACTGAGAGCTTTCCTGAAATTGGGGTTGCATTTTTGTTTGCTTCCTTACTTCTCAGTATTGATTATTTAGTGTCCTTCCGACTGCTTGACCCATTTTTTTTTTCTTTGATTTCCTAAAAAAAAAAAAAAAATGACCCATAAGATTGAACCTTCTGCTTCATTTCACTATCAACAGTAAAGTCTCTGTATTTTCACTGACTGGCAAAAATCTTTTTAGAATGTGAAATGCCCATCCTCTTCCATCAAGATGTCTTCTTCAAAGACATTTCAATTACTGGTAGTTCAGATCAGTTCAGAAACTTCTGAAGACAAAGAAGATTCCCAAGACTGATAGGTCACTGAGTGAAAGAGGCTAGGGTTTATGAGACAATTCACTAATGCACAGATGTGCACTGATATTTGAAAATCATGCGCTAACCTTTTAAAGAATGTGCACATTGTTAAAAATGAAATATCTATTCTCCCCTTCTTAGGCTTTCTCTTGAAATGCATCACTTTTTTCTTGTTATAACTTTTTTTTTTTTTTTTTTTTTTTTTTTAAACAATCTGTTTAACTGGTTCACACTCATTCTAATGTGAATGCCAGATGGCACTTGCCCTCAGGCCAAACATACCTTCTATGTCTTGATACTTCTTCCATTTTAATGTGCTTTTTGAGACAATGATGGCTGCAAAAGCTACAGCAGCAAATATATCAGTGCATTTTTCAAAGCTCCTCAGATCCTGCAGTTTACTCTTTGCTTTCCACTCTCGTGGAATCGTAGCATGTCTCAGGTGGGAAAAAACCTTACAGATCATTGAGTCCAACCACGGCCTAACCAAACTACCCACACTGATCAGTGTATCCCTTTCATGCCAATCCTTTCCACTGTTTGTTCATATCTCATTAGTAAGCTGAGTAAGATGGTGAACTTTACTTATTAGTGTAACTCAAATAATTATCAACCTGCTCAGATGCTGAGAATAAGAAACAACATAAAATGAACTCTCCTAGTCTGAAAGTAACCTGTAAAAAAAAAATCCTATTTTATATGTTTTGTTTACTTATGCAATTAAGACTATACAAGATAGCACATGGAAACTAATTTAAAATTGAACTTGATGTTCTGCACTCAAGTAACTATTTTATTAGTGTTGTATATTTCTGAAAATGTCAGTATCTTCCAACCAACCTCCCAAGCCTGCACAGTAAATCTTACAGATTAGGTTATTTTTCAGATAGAGTTAGAGTTTCAGCTGTGTTTGTTCTTGCATTTTCTGCAGTACCCAGTCTGACAACAGTCCATGGTCACTACTGTATTTGCAATCAATACCATCCTGTCTTTCCCTCCCTAGGAATCTGATGCAAAGTTCATTAAAAATGGCTAAGGTGTTGTAATCAGATCCAGCGGGCTTTTATCATCCCTGGCCTGTTTCTCCTGCCACTATGAGGTTTTCATTATATAAGCAATGTTGTTACTAATATGAAGACATTCCTTGGAAACAAAACAGGAAATATCTGCGATCAAATTCTACAAGGTCTTTTAATCTTTTGCAGATTCATAAAGAGTATCCTCAGTAAAGAGATTGTTGTCATTCTGAAGACCTACCAGTCTAGTATATAAAAGAATGATAGTATTGAATTAGCTTAATATTTGTACGATACTTTTTATTAATTTGAAACCACGTTGTTTGTACATTTTATTCCAGTGCATAGGAAGGTAAAGAATTTTGTAGGTTGGTGATTATTCATTCTATGCAATGTCTGTTGATTTTCTGAGTTCCAGAAAACCACAGGAAAAATGTTATTGAAATAAAGCTCAGTCATGAGGAAGTATTGGATTCTCTTGGCGTGTCCTGTTTAAAGCTAGATCCAAGGATCTAAGTACCTTCCATGACTCAGCTGAGTCATCCAAAGGTGAGTTAGGGTCTATATTTTTCTTGACTAAATTTGATTGGCTGCTAGGAGTATTTTTTTTTCTCCAAGTGTTTATGGCTTTTTTCAAATACCTGAAACTGCATGTTTTAACTGTACTAATGTCTTTACAGCCCTAAAAGGTCGCATCTATTATATTCTGCAGTCAAATCAGTTCTGATAGATTCCCTCTGCAGGGAATCTTATCTCTGACATATGCCAAATTATGCAGAATCTCATCCATCTAATTGCATATCATGTACAGTGACTTTTAAAGAATATTTTTAGGCCCTGAGACTGCTACTAACCTTTAAAAAGTGCTCAATCCATTTCTTGGGCATCCTCCTGTCACCTGTTTAATTTCTTTCTTATATGTATGTTAAGTTAGTAGGGAAAAAAAGAGGCTCAACTGATTACTTTCCATATAAGCACAGAGAATGATTTATTTTACAGAAATTAATGGAATTCTTTTACTGCTAAATATTAGCGTGTAAGACCAGGTTTTGCATGGGTATTCAAACTAACACATTGCTTTTTACATCTGTGTAAAAAGTGTTGAAATATACGTTTAGTTCTAAAGGAATTTTTACTGAGATGAGAAGGAGTAAGCAGTAGATATTGAAATTCAGAGGACCTGAATTTTTTTACTCACAAAAGTGCCTATAAAAGTTTCTGTCAGTATCTTTCCTGTGCTTTTGAGAAACTCAGGAATTAACCTTCAATATTGGATGAGGTATTTATGTAATTTATACTTTGGGGGAAAATGAAATAGACGTAGGTATTCTATTTGCATAATATTACAGAATCACAGAATCACAGAATTGTAGAGGTTGGAAGGGACCTCCAGAGATCATCGAGTCCAACCCCCCTGCCAAAGCAGGTTCCCTACACCAGGTTGCACAGGTAGGCATCCAGGCAGGTCTTGAACATCTCCAGAGAAGGAGACTCCACCACCTCCCTGGGCAGCCTGTTCCAGTGCTCCGTCACCTCACTGTAAAGAAGTTCTTGCGCATGTTTGTGCGGAACTTCCTATACTCCAGTTTCTGGCCGTTTCCCCTTGTCCTGTCTCCACTCACCACTGAAAAGAGTCCGGCCTCGCCATTCTGCCCCCCACACCTTAGATATTTATAGACCTGGATCAGGTCCCCTCTCAGTCTCCTTTTCTCAAGGCTGAACAGACCCAGTTCACTCAGCCTTTCTTCATAGGAGAGATGCTCCAGGCCCTTCACCATCTTTGTGGCCCTCCACTGGACTCTTTCCAAGAGATCCCTGTCTTTTTTGTACTGGGGAGCCCAGAACTGGACGCAGTACTCCAGATGAGGTCTTACCAGGGCAGAGTAGAGGGGGAGGATCACCTCCTTTGACCTGCTGGCCACGCTCTTTTTAATGCACCCCAGTAAGCCATTGGCCTTTTTGGCCACAAGGGCACACTGCTGGCTCATGGCTAACCTGTCATCCACCAGGACACCCAGGTCCCTTTCTGCAGAGCTCCCCTCCAGCAGGTCAAGCTCCCCTCCAGCAGGTCAAAATTCATAGGTAACTGATAAAATGCTAATCCTATTAACCAGCTTGAATTGATTCTCTTTCAAAATTTGAATCATTCCTCTTCATACTTGAGGTTACTAATCAAGAAAGATTCCTTAATATCTGCAGGTCAATAATCATGAACTCCAGCATATTTATGAGGCCAAGTACAGATTGCGTGGAATCTGACTGCAAAACATTCAGTCCTAGAAAAGAATATGAAGTCTGTATTTAAAATGGAGGAAAAGTAGTTCCAAATATATCATCTATTACCTGCACTCCAACTTGACCAAAATGAATATCTGCAGGAGTCTGTGAGAATTAGATACCATCACTGTGAGAATTTAACACCATCATTTGTGCTCATATTTTTTAGTGCATGTTTAATAGGAATAGAAATATTTCAAAATATTTGCAATTTGCTAATCCAGATAATATTTGCCATCCTTGCAATGAAACAAAATAGCTTTAGTGTCCCCTGTGCTAATACTTACAGAATCATATAATAATTTGAGTTGGAAGGTACCTTTAAAGGTTATCTAGTCCAACTCCCCTGCAGTGGACAGGGACATCTGCAACTCAATCAAGACACTTAGAGCCCCATCCAGTCTGACCTTGGATTTCTCCAGGGACAGGGCACTCATCACCTCTCTAGGCAGCCTGTTCCAATGCCTCACCATCCTTATTGTTGCATGACTGTATAAAGATTTTTCTTTTTAGCTAATGTAAAGTTCCCATAAAGGAATAACTCCAACGATAAAATATGACATGATCTGGTAACAGGTATCACTATGTGTGACTACCAAACACCTTTAAAAATATGAGGAAACATCAACTTTTAAACATTAATCATCCCTAGATTCTCTCAGTTGCTCCATTTGGTAATATGTAAAATCTTAAGTTCTAAACCACCCTAAAAATAATGAGTAAGATCTTTTTCTTCCACTTCAAATAAACAAGTAGAAATTTCCTTTAAATTCACTTTGCTGCCTAACACCCGTAGTTCTTTCACTGTCTATCTGAAATGCCATGTCTCATGTCAAAAACACCGAGTTGCTCTCTTATGGCCAAAGAGATTTCTTATCTCTTAGCAGGCTCATAGATTTCAGTGTGACAGCTACCTTACAGCGAGATGTAAGATGCACTAGAACACTGTGTGGTACTACAGTTTCACAAGTAGAAACCTAAAATTTTTGTTAACACAGGATTTAGTATTCCAGAGTGTTGTTGATATCATTATGAACATTTGTTTGCTAGTATACAATCTAATTCTGAGTGATGCTCCTCTTCTAAATGCTCTAGAGTTCAATGAATGCTATTGCTATGTGTATTCTGCTAAAGTAGTATTTAATATCTAACTAATCAAGATAAGTGTCCAGAAATGCTGGCAATTCAGACAGCTGATATTTTCTACTATAGGACAGATTTTTGTAAAATAATTTCATTTTGAAACGTGCTTTTGTTGCCGTATTAAAACTGTCGTTCTTCAAAAGACCACGAACAACTCCGGATCTGCAAAGCACCTCCCTGTATTTACTATAGTATTTCAGATGTATATATTTGATTGAAAAGATTAATAGCTCTTTATTGGCTTGCTGCTTCTGAAGAAACATAATAGCATTTACATTACAGGAGTTAATAAATGATGGTAAACTCCTTAGGGCATTATCAAACTCTGTGAATTTGTGTATCTGATCAAATATTTATTAGCTGCAGTCTCTTCCTATACTGATTTTTCCTTTCATTTATTGCTTTAGGCCTTACTGTGCAGTACTGAGGTGATACTCATGGGCATATGCCCCCAGAAGAAAGACACTCATTATGAAATACCTAACTTCAAAACCACAAGCTGTCTGAATTTTGGTTTCTTTTTCCTTTTAATAAACTGCCACAACATTTAATTATCTTTTCTAGCTTGTTTCTTTGACCTGTATTAAACTAACCAGGCACAAAATTTTATTATCTCAGTTGATAATAGATATTTAATTTCCATTGGTTATCCTGAAATTTTTACACTTGTATTCAAGCTTATTGCTGTGTATTTGCTGTATGCAGCAAATGATTACTACAGAAAGTGATTGGACATCAGTATTTACTGTGTTAGATCTTTGCTCTGTATGATTTTTCTTGTCTGTAAACCTGTTATATGTGCAACAGATTTATTGCACTGAGCTAGCCTGAAATTTTGGAACCAGAAAATGTGTCAGTAGCACTTGTGGGAGAAGGATAGCTGAATAAAAATGAAATGCTAGGGAAAAGAAGGAAATGCATGCAAAATTCCTGATTTTTTCAACACTGTGTCACCATTAAGACTTCTGCATGTGAGTCTTCATTTTGTTGAATTTAACGCACATACAAAGCAGTCTGGGCTACTGACCCAGCTACATGATGTTGACTGTATTACAGGACTGGTGCATGTTTCATTTTCTCCCATGCAAGTACTTCAGCATATTTCAATAAAGAATAACTTCCTGGTGGTGACAGAGATAGCCTAGAGATAGTGTAAACAGTCTGAACTCTTTCTACAAAATCAATTTCTGAGTTATGTTTACTATGTCAAGTTAGATTTGTAGGATATAGAATTATCTTCTTGTCTGTGATTGAAAATGCTTTGCAGCTGGATGCTTCTTTATGAACACTGCACAGCAAATTGTCAAGATCCCACTTGTACTTTAGTCAAGATCTCTTTCTTAATTTGAAGACTAGAAACATCTGTGTGTCTAATTTGAAATATATTGAAAGAAAAATTATGTAGTTTGCTCAGGAAAATATCACATATTTGGTTTTTCTGCTTGTCTGGAGGAGCATAAGAAGCTCTGGGGGAACATATTTTCAATAGTCTCATCATAAGAAACAACATGAGGCACTACCTTCTCATTGCATTCTCATTAATGTTTCTCATAGACTTCTCATTTACCTCAGTAGGTGTAGGCCAGTGTAACCAACATGGAGACACTGTATAAATAATATTCTATGATATCCTATATTCTCTAATATGCACAGGTCTTCATAACTAAATTAGATTGCAATACTGCAAAATGCAAACAAATGCGCACAGACAGAATGATGCTAAATTATGCATTTCATCAGGGCTCTCAGGAGAGTGCCAAGTCATAGACTTGTGAGATCCGTATATTTATTTAGATTCATACATGAGGTCAGGAAGTACCTTTGCTGACCCCTAGGCATCCTTGGCAATTACATAAAGACATAAGAAACATAAAGGATGAGCACCCTGCAGCAGTCTCTGCCAGGCACAGCGCTGTGTATTGGACCTTGCAGCAACAGGAAATTAAGAGAAACCACAGTTCTCTCATTCTCTTTCTCCCCAAGTATCCTTGCAAAGTTGAAACTTGAAAGTAGGACCACGTGAAACACATAATATTGTTTTGTTGTCTAATTCATCAGCTCTTCTTTGCACAAGATAGGCATCTCCTCCTCTGAGCAAATCTAAACTTACATGAAATGTGAGAAGTACTGTTTTCCCTTTAATTTGCTGTGTTTGGTAATAGTGAAAAAGAAAAACACAAGTACTGGCTAACATTTTCTTAGATCTAAAAATAATTTTTCACTTGATATGCTATCTTTTTTTTCTTGTAAAATCAATCAAACACAGATATGGACAGTGTATGTAGCTAGCAGAAATTTAACATCTCTAGTATACAACATTAAAGCTATTTGGAGAAGCCTATATTTGCTACTATAAAAATGCTCATTCTTGTGTTGTTCCTTTAGCTTGGCCCTGGACATAGCTATAAATGGGGCAATTTTTGGATTTTAAGTTGTACTGTATGAAGAGAGCAATGTCAAGGTATTAAATGGTAGTGTTGCAGATTCTGCTGAATTTTGAAATTATTTAGTCTCACTAAAACCAGTGAAATCAGTGAAGTTTCATCCACAGTATTAGCCAGATATCTAGTTTTGATTGTTTTTTAAAGTCAATAAATAGATTGATATCTTTAAGTAACCTGATTTGGGTTTTCTTTGGAGAATGGTTCTCTTTTATCAGTTAACTAAAGTTTGAATTTTATACACAGCAGAATATTTTGTTCTGGGCAGTGCTGAGCCTTTTCAATTGTTTATTCATTCATTTCACATTCTCAAAGTGGCACGAGGGAACCATGTGATGTTTAATGTAAGTGTATGAAGTTGAGTAAAAAAAATGCATACTCTTAGCTTTTTGATTCTAAAGGCAGTCAGGTTTGGGTTTTCATGTGCACTTGGAGAAAGGCGACTGCTGTGCTTTGAAGATGTCTGTTAAGATGATGATTACTCTTTTTTTTTTTTTTTTGTCTAATTACTTACCTGTTTTTGAAATTATATTCATAAAATTATATTCACAGTTTTGAATATTATCACCACCAGCTTAGAAAAGTTAACAGTGGAGATTTGTTACAAAAATATTCAGATTCAAGCATTTAATGGGAATGGAAATATGAGCACTACAAGAAACAACAGAAAGGCTAAAAAAAAAAAGCCTATGTTAATAAGCTAACATAGCATTAAAACCAATAAACATCAAGGAATTCATTTTTTGCTACAAGACTAGAAGGCTTCTGCTTCAGTAATGTCATACTGGAGCATATGAGAACTGCTGAATCACAGCCTGAACCTCTGATTGATCACCTGAGGTGAGCAATGAGTCAGTCACAGGAGCACAGGTGAAGGCAATTCACCTGTTCTGCTGGAAGGAGTGGAGCCTGGCTCCACCTCTCCTAGACCCATTTAAGAGTTGACAACCAGGGGGGAAGGATCTCTTCTGGAGATTCCCTTCTCTGGAGTTTCATAGTGAGCCCAGGATGTGGGTAAGCATTCTATCTGTTCTGTTTTGGTTTAATAACTGCTTAGCCAAACTCTCTGTTATATTTTGTAATTACAACATCTGTATGTTCATTAATTATACATGGAGGTAAATTGTCACTGAAATCTCTGATAACAGCAAAAACAGACACATGGTTGCAGCCCCTTGCATGGATCCATCCTTCTTTTTATCCCAGGAAGAAGACAGACTATTTATAAAGATATCTAAAATGAGAATACAATAAGAGTAGACCATAGCATGGCTTCAAAACAATAGAGATTGAAGTCATCAAGATACTGAGGCCAAAGAATGTAACATAATTATATGACTTGTAAAAAAACTTTAAATGCTACTCCAAAAAAAAAAAAACATTCTCAAAAAATCAAAAGAAACCACAGAGATGTAGCAAAGTCTTAATATCAACCGCTGTTTGTCCTGCATTCAAGGGATCTTGGCCAGACCATAAATACACACCCATTATGGTTTTTATGAATATAGAAATGAGAGAATGTGAGAGTGAAACTCAAGAGAATGAGTGAATGACTAGAATATATATATTTTTTTTTAAATGAATGTCATTTTTCCATAAGGTTTTATGGTGTTTTTGTATGTTAGATTCCTACGAAGACAGGCACATTTGGGTTCCTGAGACCTGTTACTATTTATACTTCAGTGTAAGGCAAATTTGATTCAATTGTCCTTATTTTCTTTATTTCTGTGAAGATTTTGGAGTGTTTTGCTTTACTTGGCCCATGAGATTGATGGATGATAGCTAAATATTTTTCTCCACCTGTTTTCATTTGGCACCGTGTCTACAGGCAGATTATGTAAGGACTTAGAGGAAGATTTTCTAAGGTAGAACACTTGGTGAACACTTCCTTTTCCACAAGGAAAATAAAAATAAATATATTTTGTTTTTATTTTGCAATATGAATCCACCTTTCTCATGAATGCAATACTATATCTTCTGCAAAAATGTTTTCATATTGAAAGCTTACATTTATCTAAGATAAGATAAGGAAGTAGCATTAGTGATTGTAAATGGTTAATATGGGGAAATACAAAGAGAATAAATCATTCAGATCTAGCATTGTTTACCACATTGATTTACAAGCATAGTTATAGTACCATTTGCTATTTTCAGGCTTATATCCTGCCTTACTTATGCTTAACTATTTAAATGAAAGCACCAATTACTACATCATATGAATAGTAATAATAATATGATATTTTGTATAGACTTGTATTATTCATTACTGTTGTAATTAATTTCAAATAATTTTTAATCTCCTTTGACTTTCTCTTGGGGGGTATTTTTGAGAGAAAATCAGTAATAAATTCCAGTTTGTTTGCTGGGCCTGCCAAGGAAGAAAAAATTACTGGAGGGAGATAACAGAGTTCATTCATGTTTTCTTCCCAGATCACATTTTACTGAATCAGTGAAAATGAAAAAGGAAGGTGAGATACTGGATGGAGCCTCTGGCTGCTGCGTTCCAAAATACAGGGTGACAGGTAATTTGGAAGGTACAGGAATGACCATTAACTTTCCATCCATCCCTCATTAGTTTAACCGAATCTCTTCAATGATTGCTTTTCTCCCCATTCCTGGAAACATTCCTAGAAGAAAACAGCCCCCCCAAAAAGATCAAGATTGATTCAGTATCATTTGCATTGTTCCAGCAGCAGAAAATAAATGGAGAGCTGAGTTAAGAGATTATATCCTTCATTGACTGAAGTTCCACCCAGATATGTTGGATGTGTAACAGTTCTGGCAAATCCTTCTCTCTGGTGGTGAGAATAGAGAACAAGTTCTCAAACAGCTTTGTGTTAGAGGCTAGTTAAATCACTAGTTAGAGTCTAGAGAAAGATCAGGAATATGAGATGACTTACTTTGAGTTCCTTTCCTATATGAAATTTAGATTTAGGATCCTTCTAGAATCCTTCTTAGGTACCCACCACAGATCTGCAGAATTTTGATAATGATAGTGGGCTGACAAAGGCCTGTCAAAGCAGGTGAGACAATTCAGTAACTTCTGTTTACTGTAGAAGCAAACTTTATGGCATTGCAGAAAAAAACTTGCTATGCTTGGTAGAGCAAGGTAGTTTCAAATAAAGATTGAATTCTTGAGGATATTACAGGTCTTGAAATTAAGTTAAGAAAATGTGCATAAAACCTCAGTGTGGAGTAATATACAAGATGTCCCGGTTCTTTGTTTTTTTGTGGTATGGCTTTTTTGTTTGTTTTTTACACTAAGAGGTTCTTATGGTTTCTATTCAATTGCATTTTATTTTAATTATGTAAATTCTACATTGGTCTTTCTGGTGGAGAGTTGAAAGGTTCTTCCTTGGCAATGTATGGCTGACTGAGTAATTCTGGATGAGCCACATGACACAGTGGAAGGCTGTGTAGCAGGAACTTGATTGTCGTTTATATCTCAAAAAGAAGACATCGTTATAACAGACTGTCCCCAGCAAGCTAAGTACACTGAGTAAAGCTGCACAGAGTCATCATGATTATGCTATTTTTTAAAACAGAGGCTACAGTGTGCAATTTATGCATACTTTAAATGCAGTACCATAGTTCTAGCCCAAGTCTTTATTGTTAGGCACAATCTGAACTCACTGTTGCCTGTTCTGTAATATTAAAACTTCTCTCTTAATAGTACATTAGTGGTACTGACTTTGCACAGAAGTAAATTATCCTTAAATCTTGCAGGACAGTGGAGATTTGGTCCCTGTTTATTTAATCATGGCGAATTTTGCTTTGAAAAAAAAAATCACTCTTGTAGGTTTGTGACTTGTAAGATTAGGGATACTGTGACTTATCACCAGAGTTCAGGCACTATTACCAAAATTTTCGCTTTGCTTAGAACAGCATCTAGAATGCTAAAAGCTCACATTACACATGTTGTTAAAGAAAATGTGAATTTCTCTAATTGGGAACACAAGCATATAGCCTTAAATAAAGGTCATATTCTTACAGGGAGATTTGTAATGAGGGTGACAAGTACATATGCTGCTGAAACACAACCTTCTGAACTGTACTACACAGAGGTTGCTGGAACAATTCACAGGACTTTTGTTCACTTTTTTTCTAATTAATTCAGTGATGGGTGAAGTTTGTTTTGACTTGTTTCTATTGCCCCGTGTGACATTTACCACGTAATTATCATCTTTCATTGTTTCAAAGAATCTCCCAACTATCTTCAGATATTGGTAAAATTATTTTTATTGTCAATCTACATCGTTCCGATTGATTCTATTTTTTTTTAAATAAAAATAGATTGTAATATTGTAGAACAGATTCCTAGTGCTGAAAATTCAAATCTTTAACAAATCAACATTTCCTAAATTTTCAGTGAAAATCCTTGTAAATTAAGGAGCATTAACTGGAGTTGCCTTACAATGTCAAATTGATTCCTCCAGGGGTTTAAGAGGCATTATGTTCTGATTGACAATTTTTATTGTATTTAGGTGGAAATCTTTGTTTACGCATATTTGAAATAATATATATTTATGTTTAGTTTTTAGTTCTAAAAATGAATACATTGGATATATTTTTCTTTGGAAGTGTTCCCATAAGTTAGATAAGATCAAATTTGAGGAAAAAAAAAAAATGTTTCTTCGTGAGGCTTTTTGTAGTATATATTTCTATGCTATTATGCAGAACAATGTGGATTTAAGTAGCTTATTTTCCCTTAATTTTATTCTGCATTTAGATGTTTTTTTTACAGGAGGACATTAATTTTTTTTCATTTGTGGTGATTTGGTTTATGCCCTTGGTAAAATGCAGGAACTATGCCAATTAAAATGTAGTTTTCACGTTGCCTTTTGAAGGAATTGTTGAAATCTTTCAGTGCATCATATCAAAACGTTTTAAAATTAAATAGCTATTCACTTTATGAATTCAGTTTATTATTTAATAATGCTTAAACGTATGTGTATTGGAACACAGATTTGGGTTCTGTAATACTACTTGAACGGCTTATTTTTCAAATTTGCTAAGCTACAATACTGGCACAGTTTGTTTTACTTATGAAAGTTTTAGTTCTCATTCAGCTCTCAGTTTAATTCTAACTAAAGCTAACAGCTGTTTTCTTGCAGCAGTGTCTAATAATTGTACACCTCTGCTATCGCTTCAGGTTCAGACAGATCTGTCCACTTCAAAATATATGGTACACTTACATGGGAAATATCTGATGTCTGTGTTTTGATGTTTGGGGATCAGAGCCTAAACGGGCAGATCTTTGTGTTGCAGTCCAAGACTGCACAAGAACCATCAAATGGAGATAACTCTAAAAGTCCTGCAGATAGTGTTCTCCGACATTTCCAGCCCCAATTAACTTTGCCAAATCTTTAGCTCACACTGGTCATTTGTATACCCACCTGCAGAAAGAAAATCAAAGCTGTTGTAGACACAGGCTATCTTTGAGATTTTGGAGTCTACATGTCATGGAAGTTCAAAGCAATGATATGACTGTAGCCAGCAGGGCACTGTGGGAGCATGCAGCTTCCAGTAAAAAAAAAAAAAAAAAGTGATCTGCTGAGACTTGGTTCTTAAGTCTTTATGCAACTTTTCACTGTGCAGTGTACACATCACTTTTTTTTTTTTTTTCAATAGGAGTTCAGAATATTGCCTATGGTATTAGTGTTGTCATTGATAAATTTCTCACTCCTCTTGCAAGGAATTATTGGTGTGTTGTTCAGCAAAGATTCAGTAAGGAAATGTGTAATTTCCATATTAATTCAATGGAAGTTTGTGCAAGTTTGCCTAAAGTTTGAATTAAGCCATTTCACTTTGCAATAAAAGCAATGAGCAGCAGTCATGCTGCTATTTACTGCATGCCATCTGAGAATGGGTTTAAAGTTTTAGTTTTTTCAACTCAGCTTGTGACTTTATCAGCATATCATGTCAGTCAACTATTTTTGAAAATGAGAACATAGACTAATTGTAGATAATCTCTTCTAATCACGTTTTTTTCCTTTCCCAAAAAAGACCTCGGCCAACTTCACCAATTGAATTCTGTATGACTTTCTTCAAAATCACTGCTTCAGAAAATTTCTTTTTCCTTTCTCTTTTTCCATAATTCACTGTTCTAATCATTATGGAATTGTCCTCAATCTGCAGTAAGGCCTCCTTGCTGTTTACAGCATTGTCAATGTTAAATTTCTCGAGGAGGAAGATTACAGTTTCAGTTTTTGCAAATAGTGAAAAGAAATTAACAAGTCCGAAGACAGTATGAGAAGTGGGTGCCTAATATAAAAGCATAATAAATGGCAAAAAGATTAATAAAACTGTCAAACTTTATTAATTAGAAAGATGTTTTTTACATCATTGTTACGGGTTATAAATATCTTCTATACTTGCAGGACTAACAGATAGGAGTCAGGCCTGGCTGGAAGATATTCTGTATGAACAAGATTCTTTGAGGAAAACCAATCAAGAACAGAAACTTCATTAAAATTACAGGCTTTTTTCATCAGTCCCCTTCACAGCTGTCTTACTCAAAGGGTACGAGAATGATAGCTGACCTTCTGGATATAAAAATGACATTTAAAAATATGAATAAAGTACAAATTAATCCAGTTATAAAAGGAAAATGCAGTATATAATTTCTTTGTCTTTGGTATTACTGTTTTGCAGTGATAACCTGTCCCATTTGAATTCTGTAGGAATTCACTATTGATTTTAACTCGTCTAAATGTGCCGTTTCCTGACATCAGAAAAAAAAACTGACTGAAGTGCTTAAAGTGTCTATTGTGAGGCTCTATTTTTGGAAACTATGCAAATAGGTTTTCTAAAGCGTTCTAATCCAAAGCTTACATATTCTGGGCTTTATTTTTGTAATTGCTGTAAGTAGCTTTCCCACACTGTGGTGACTTGGATGTACATTTGGGAAATGGGAAGGACAGATTTGAATTTGTGCAGGCTGAGAACAAAAGCATGTTTTTTTTATGGTTTTGAACAGATAGCCTAATTGGTGAGTTGTTTTGAAAAAAGTCAGGTATCATCAATGAGCTGAGTTTCTGGAAAAGTAAGCCCCAGTTGATTAAGAGCTTGATTCAGAAATGGATTCCAGTTTACAGAGCCAACCTGTATAGAGGTACTTAATATGCCACACTGACCCTGGTACATTTGGTGGGGTTTTAGGCTCATTGCTGTGATCATGGTGTTTTATTTGTTGGAACTGGTCTCTGCTCACTGAAGTGTTTTTATGGGCCAGTCTACTGAGTTTCTTGTTTGTCTTTAAGGGAATCTGGGTGCCTATGCATAACTCCCTGGGTCATTATCTTAGAATCAATCACCTATGATTTTGCTGCTGCCTAAATTAGAAATACTTTTTTCCTTTCTTTTCATCCTAATACCTTTGGCTTTAAGGAATTTAATTTGGTCACTGTTTACTATTACTTTCATTGCTCCCAAAAGATCTTTCAGGTACTGGTACTCTAGCAAATGCTGGAAACAAGTGGAGTCAGCTATGAAAACAGCCACCTCAAGGTAACTGCGTTGTGACCTAACAGACAGAAGAAGTAGGGAAAATTTAGAGTGATGAAAGGTGATCTTACACATCAGGTAAATAGTTTCCTGGATAACCTGTATTAGCTGTATGTAACTGAAATTTATACACGCACCCAGTTGAAAAATAGATTTCTCCTTCATGTCAGCATGAAGAAGAACATTAATAATAATTAATGCTGATATCTCTACATGTCTGTAGCCCTATGCCTATCTGTGAATGCTGGACAAGGTTCACTTTCATGATATAACAGCTGGAAAACTCAGTGACCTAATTAGCGCCTCTTAGAAAGTAGTACAATGTTAGTTGTATACATCATACCATCATATGGATCAGATCTTTCTTGAAATATACGTATGTGGTTGGGAAGAGTAGGCAAGAGTTAACCTGAAGGTAATTTTCTTTTTTCCTTTTTTTTCCTTTCTTTTCAAGAAGTCAGATTCAAAAATAATTAATTTCCTAGCTCCTCTCCTTGCTATTAGGCATCTTAAAGCATAGTGGTATATACACCAGACTATTTCCTTATGGAAACTTCTATAAAGCTTTCTGCATTCTAATAAATAAAAGATTGAATTTTCCCTGGAAGAGGTTAAGAAAATATAATTATATTGGTTTAAAGCAGCTAAGAAGGAAAATAAAATGCCAGAATAGCATTTGAGGCTTTTCTTTTTTTTTTAATTTGTTTTTCTAGATTTTATAGTCCAGGAGTGCAGCTTACCACAAAACCATCAGTCAACAATGCATCTGCTTTCTCTCAGTTTTTTGCTGGATAGCACTTGTAACAAATAGAATGTCCTTAAAACAATTTTATAGGCTGATTTTTTTATTTTTTTTTTTCTTCATGGCAAAAACTAGATTGATAAAGCTTTTAAAAAAAAAAAAAATCTTCACAAGTCAGTGATACACAATGACTCAGAAAATTAGTTACAAGTCACTGAGAACAGAATTAGCTGTTAGAGCATCAAATTCCATTCTAGCAGAGCACCTCCAGCACTTCCCATCAGACAGGTTAACTTCTGTTTACATCCTTACCTACTGTGATACTCTGCAGAATTGCCTTTTTTCTGGTGTTCTTCACCAGAGATAGGTTTATTTCACTTTATATTTTTCACACAGTGGGAACTCTTTGGACAGAACCAGCTATAGCATTTATCTTTGTTCTTTAGTGCTATTCTAGTGTAAGATTTTGACATTCCAATTAAATATATATGTATTTATTTGTTATTTTCAATTGAGCCACAAGATTCCTACTACTTTTTTAAATTATTGTTGTTATTTTTTCCCCTCTGCCAGACAGATTTACTCAAATTAAACTTGAGTAAAACCAAGTAACCTCTGAAAACAGCTTCTTGCCATGCAAGCAGCAATAGGTAATGCCTGGTCACATGTTGGCATCGATAATCTAAAATCTAAAGCGAGAAGATTTGTGTGTGTGTGTGTGTGTGTGTGTGTGTGTGTGTGTGTGTCGTTTGGGTTTTTTTTTTCCCCAAATTCTTTAAAGTACAGAAAAGTCTGCTTGGGGAGTTGTTTTTTGTTTGTTTCTTTTTTTTTTTTTTTCCTCCCACTCTCATGTATTCATTTTTGACAGATCAGTGTGTGAACTCAGTTATCTTAACAGAATTTTTAAACTACCTCTTTTATGCTGTTCTTGCTAACTGCAATTACCACCACCAGTTTTGCAGGCTTGTAAATGTACAGGCATTTGTGCTGTGCCTCTGCCCAACAATTGTGTCTACCAGTATTTTTAGAAGACATTGGAGAAAAGATGCAGCAATTGGATCGTTGTACAGAAACCTAGAACATGCTTTACCTAAATAGCAATATATACATGTTAATCTCTCTATTTTGAGTAACTGCAGAGTAATTAACATCTTAAAAAAAAAAAACAAAAAAAAAAACAATGGCAGCTGTATACATGATGACAAAGCTTTGTTGTTGCAATTGGCTTCTTAGCTTAAAGCCAGTCAAAAACAGAAAACAAATGGAATTATTTTTCACTCTGATCTTTAAACCAATATACATTTCCCCATTTATAACCTGTGATGCTCTTTTATGACAGTTCACAAAGCTGAGGGACATAAACTTCTTCCCTCTCATAGCAGAACAGATTGTGGAAATAAGCATGTGATTAGAGGATGCTATAATATTCTTCTGTTCTGCAGTCACTGAAATCCTAGACTGGTCTCATAGTTTCCTAATGCAGAAGGCCCACAGGGACAAAATGACTGGCCTTTCTGATCCAGCTTGGACATTCAAATTGCACAGGTATTTTCAAAGAAAAAAAAAAAAAAGGAAAGTCCTTGTGCCACGATGATGTGTAAAGCTCTCCTGGCATACCCTATGTATAGTACACAAAGTACATAAAGGTACAGGAATAAGCTGTCACAGTTCAGTCCAATCTTCTAGAGATACTAGAGAGAGTTAATTGAGAAGGTATTTAATCAAGGTGTACTTCAATAGATCTTGTTGTACAGATAAAATGATTGCATGAATGTACTCATGTTACAAGGAGGCTAAGGAGAGTAATTTGGACATTTGAGCAAGGAATATTTTCCTTCTTTGCCCTAGCAGCAAAATATTTTTTGATATTTTTCAAGCTGCGTGCCGATTCAGAAAACTCAGTTTCTTATTTTGAGATTATGACATAGTTTGTGGGTGGTTCACAAAAGAAAAAAAGGTATAATAAGAAAGAAGGGAGGGAAACTACTATGAGCAGGAATAGATAGTCAAGGGAAGTATGTGGAGACAAGCTAAGAAACTCTGTGTATTTCAAAAGCCATAGGATGTTGCTACAAATGAGTGATAATGATTAAAATTTAGAAGTACAGGAGGAACTTTTTAGCTATGATTCAGTATAATAAAAAGCGGAGAAAATTTCTGAGGGAATAGAGAGGGATAAGTAATCATGCTTTTGTTAAAAAAAGAAATGCCCTCCATGACCAGAAAGAAAAAAAAAATCAGCTTGGGTTAAGTATAATCTTATAGCGATGTATTTAGAATCTTGGAACTTCATGATATAAATTAAGGTTAGGTTTGAACTGCAGCAATGAGTTTTATTTCGATTTTGTGTTCAGTTCTTTAAGAACAATGTGACATTCATTTACCCATTGATTGCTTTTGCTGTTATGGTAATTTGTAAAGATTTAAAGTTCTGCCTGTTACCCAGTTTTTGAGGTCAGTAGTGCAAAGATCTCTCCCTCAGAGGTCCTAATGACTACGAAGTAGTAAGAAGTGACGTGTATTTAAATTCTATCAAACATAACCATCATAAAACCATATGCTATTCACACTGCAAGAGAGCAATTGGCTGTAAAAAAACATAGTACATAGTACAAAAGAAATAAAACAAATGCTGAAAACCAAAAGAAGGAGAAATAGCAAAGTCAAATACAGCAGTTCGAGTTTGTAAAGCCAGATGAACAATGTAACAGATGAACAAAGTATCTGTCTATATCCATTTGTAAAGCGCTACCTACTGAGTGTCCTAACTAGTCAACAGCAGGGGATCTTCCAGGAATCAATCAATGAATTCTGTTGATTTAGAAATGCATCAGGAGACACACACACACACACACACACACACACACA